ATATATATATATATATATATATATATATATATATATATATATATACACACACACTCGGATTTGTGTTACCAAGGATCTAATGTTTTAATTTTATTTATTTATTTTAATTTGTGTGATTTATTTTGAATTTAGAAAGTTTAATAAATTGAATATAACTTCTTAGATATATATGTGGTTAATTACTTTTTTGTTTGTGAAAATTTATTGTGAAGAGGTCAATTAAGATGTTTATAACTAAAGAATGTGTCATCGGTCCTTAATTTTTTACTCAATATAGTTACAAGCTATAAACAAATAGTACCGACATTCAAAATAATAAAGCAATAACTATAGAATATGAATTTAAAACTAAAAGTCATGGCTAAAACGGGTTTCGTAATTTCAACAAAATTATACATAAATTAAATTATAGCAGAACAAAAAAAAGTATTTTTTAAAGGAAAATTCTGAAACACGCTGAAGCAGGCACGTCGACAACGTGCCTGTTTCAACGTGAAATCTAGAATTTAAAACTAAAAATCATAGCTAAAAAGGATGTCATAATTTTGAAAAAAACTATACACTATAAATTAAAGTAGAACAAAAGAAACAATTTTTTTTTAAAAAAAAATCTGAAACGCGCTGCTGAAAGAGACACGTCAATTTTAAAAGCCCTATAAAAGGAATTTCATAATTTCAAAAAAAATTATACAATAATTTAATTAAAGTAGAACAAAAGAAATAATTTTTAATTATTTTTTCAGCAACATGTTGAGCAGACACGTCGATGGAGAACTAAAAGTCAGAACTAAAAATGATTCTATAATTTCAAAAAAATTATACACTAATTAAATTAAGTAGAACAAAAGCAATAAATTTTTAAAGTTTTTTTTTCGAAACATGCTGAAACAGGTATGTAGATTTTAAAAGTCTTAGTTAAAAACAATTTCATAATTTCGAAAAAGTTATACACTAATTAAATTAAAGTAGGTTAAAGAAAAAAATTTAAATTTTTTTTTCCAGAAGACGCTGAAATAGGCACATCGATAAAAATGTGTCTGCTTTAGTAACTCTCTCTTATATAATAAAAGAATATATACTAGTTCAATAAATACATACAAGTAAAAAAAAATCTAAAAGAAAACAATTAGAAGCAGAAAAAAATATATGGAGATCAATATAAATTTTTCTATATTTTTTTCCTGAGAGAATGTAATATAGTTAAAAAAAATTTTACAATAGCTCCTCAGTTTGTTGATATCTTTTTTGACCTTTTATAATAATGGATTATTATATATCTAAAATAACTTTGGATATTTAAATTTATTCCTTTATAATAGATATATACAAATTATCCAAAAAAAATATTATTTAATCAGTATTACATAAGATTTCTCAAAGTAACATTTCTTTGAGTCTTTGACTTTTAAATTAGAAATTTGCTTAATAATTTATTTAATTTCATTAAGTAATGTGTACTTTAGATATAAGATTTGAAGATAAATATTTCTATCAAATCAAATTTTTATTTTGTTCTTTCCATATATACCACGTAACATATATAGAGAATTGTCATATATTGTTCCTAATATCATCATGTCATACAAATTGTAATAATTTATCATTTAATATATATTTGAAATGTAATAGACATATATAATTGCTCAATCAACATCAATAATAAATATTTTCATTTCATTATTTGCTTAACAAACAATTTGACAAGTACAAAGACTTTGACTACTTCCCGAAGCAGCACAAGTACAACTATGAGGCATTTTACTTGCTGGCCATTGAGATAGAGCTAGAATTCCACAATCAATGTTAGCACATACGTCATTAGCAGTGAAAGTTCCTGGGCAAAATTTAGGTTCACCTAAAATAAAACAATGAGAAAACTACATATTAACGATATGATTAAAAAGATAAACGATGAAAATAAATATTTGAACGCATGATTGTAGATAGAAAATTCCATATGCATAATACATACCTAGTGAATGATTAAACAAAGTGAAAAAGATTGTCATAGCGAAAAGAAAAGACATAATGAAACTCTTCATTTTTCTTTCACTATTGAACTTTTGTATGATATGATAGTATGAAATGTTGACACCATTCAGAACCTTATATAGGGTCTAAAGAAAGATATGAAATTATGGTATTAATTCATATAAGGCTAGTAAATCTGCAATTTGTAAGTTACTTACCAAAATATACAAATGGACTTATGGTATTAAATCATATAAGGCTAGTAAATCTGTATTATTAAAAGGAAAAATTTTATATATGGCAAACTTAATTGATTAAATAACATTATATGGATATAATATTTCTAATTATATTTATGGGTATAGTTTAGTTATTTTAGGTATTTTTAATTTTATATATAAGGTTTCTTTTATTTTTTATTTATACAATTTTATTTTAGAAAAAGTGGTTTGTAACTGAAGCGTTAAATATGCTAACAATAAATTTAGATAATGCCATAATTTAAGGTAAACGTTCAAATTTATTATTATTTTTTTAAAAAAAAGTATACAGCAATTGAAACACAAGATAGATTTGATTTTGCTGTTTTATGAAACAACAGTTCATCCATTTTTTTTGTTTTTCTTTATAATCGAATACAGGTAATCGTTCATTGGATGAAAATTCATGTTTATTATTGCAATATATACAATGTTCTATTGGATTTACAAATTTGAATGTATGTGCGTTCGTTATTGTGGTGATAATTGTATATAGCCATATCGTAACTGGTTTAAAAAATATATAAATTTTTTAAGAAGAAATTTCGTAGGATACAATTATATACTTTTTGTTAATGTAGTATTTGTATATTGAAAAGAAGATCAATGTAATCGAATACAGGTAATCGTTGGTGATAATTGTATATAGCCATAACGTTAGTGTTTTGCTTTTGAAAACTGATTTCAAAAATATAAAAAAAATTAGAGAAGAAAATTCATAGGATACAATTATATACTTTTTTTGATGTAGTATTTGTATATTAGAAAGAAGATCAGTGTAAACACTATTAATCAGATTGTATAAAAGTGTTGTATTAATTGTATATATGATTTCTGTGAATGATTTGAAATAAAATTTTGTTTGAAAATTGTACAGATAATGACCTCATTGGCTACTAAAATATACAAATTATAATCATATATGAAATTTTTCCATCTCTATAACTAAATCCAATTACTTTTTGTATATGTATACAAAATAAAATAAAATATGGAGCCTTTAATATATAATCCACTACTACCACTATTAAAACTTAATATATTATTCATTATACATAACTTAAAGTATGTATAAACTAATCAAATCCACAGACACATACAATAACTAAAGGAATATACAAATAAATAATTGAAGATATATATAAATAACTAAAGCATGTGCGTACTAAACATGCAATATACTATATACAATTACGTGAATACAAAATTTGCTTAAACAAATAATTTTTTGTAATCATATGAAATTTCCCATTTGTATAACTAAATACAATTGCTTTTTGTATACGTATACAAAAACAAAAATAATATGTAGCCTTTAATATACAATCCACTACTATCACTATTAAAACTTAGTATATTATTCACTATACATAACTTAAAGGCTTAAGTCATATACCGCCCCTTAAAGTTGTCCGCATAATTCACTTAGACACCTCAACTGAGATTTGTACCTATTGAACACCTAAATTGTTCAAAACATGTACCTATTAGACACATAATGCTGATATGACAAAAAATGTATATGACACTTCCTTGAAGCGCGTGGAAAGACTCAAAATAGTGTTTTTTATATATATTTTTTTTACATTTTTTCTTCTTTTATTGACACTTGACATTATAATTAACTTAAAAAATATTTTCTTCTTTATTTACACTATTTTCAAAAAAGAACTCACTCCCTATCTATCATCTTCTTCATAGTTTAGTTTATAAAACTTTCTTCATTTTAGTTCCAACACTTTTTTTCATTTTTTATATACAAAAAATTTATATCTTCCAAATATGAAGATAATGAAAATCAACTATAAAGATTCAGATTTGAAAGAAAGTCTTCGTATGATTTATTTCAAATCTCATAAAAATAAGGAACAAGTATGAAGAAGATGAAAAAAGATAAATGATTTTTACGTATAAAAATAGTTAGCCAATATTTATTTATCACAATTTTCGAACAAAGATTTTTACTCAAATTCATATGTGGTCATTAAATTTATCAAAAATCATATAAAAAAATTTGAAAGAAATAATTTTGGAGCTATCAATTTCATTTTGTCATCGACGTAGAGTTGAATAACCGCCAACAAAATTTTCTTTCTTCTTCACTCTTAGTATGAAAAAGAAAATTAATCTTGAAGTTATTTGAAAAAAATAAGGTTTTGTAATTTGAGAAAGAATGTGTTTTGGGAAGAAGATGAAGATGAAAGGGGGTTGGGGTAAGGTGGGGTAAAATAGGTTGATATTTTCATTTTTTCTTTTTTCTTTTTCAAAAAATTAGATATTAATGTGTGTGTGTTTTTATAATTTTCGGGCCCAATGCCAAATGTTATTTTTTGATTAGTCGTATTGTCACGTCACTGCAAGTGTATCACACACTCTTCAAATTTTTTTGTTGATTATAAAAAAATGTCTAATAGAAACGATTATTATATAAGTAAAAGTGTTCAATTGATAGTAATATTAGTTGAAGTGTTTAAGTAAATTATGCGGACAACTTTAAGGGGCCGCTGATGACTTAAGTCTAAATTAAAGTATGTATAAACTAATCAAATCTACAGACACATACAATAACTAAAGGAATATACAAATATATAATGGAAGATATATATAAATAATTAAAACATGTGTGTACTAAACATGCAGTATACTATATACAATTACGTGAATACAAAATTTATTTAAACAAATAATTTTTTTGTATATTGACACCTAAGTAACAAAAAAATTGTAACTAAAGTTGTGTTTTAAGCCACTACCTCATGATTATGATGTTCTTCAGATCCGTCAATTTCAGATGCATTCTCCTCTGAATTACTGTTTACTGCTTTCTTCTTTCTTTCTCCTTGTACATTTTTAATGCCTCTAGTTTTGGCATTTTTAAGAACTTCTTGAACTGCCGTAGGGTCATATTTTTTTTGATCTCAATTCTTTCATTGTTTGTTCATGTTGAACGTGTTTGGATTTTACCATAGACCCTACATCAATCCCAAAATCTTGAGTTAAACCCATTGAAAAAGATGGTAAATTGTCAACAAAATTGACGTGCAATGGAATACCTCTAGTAATCCTCATAGATGAAGATGATTCATTCATTCTGATTTTGAAGAATTTGAGATCTAATAAGAACAAACAATCGATTATTTCACCAAAAAAATATGAAAAAAACATAAGAAACACAATACATAAACAATTGTTGAATAAGAAAAAAAATGAAAAACGACTAAAATTTAGAAGTACCTGCGAAAGTTGTATTCAATTTCGGGAGGGAGGAACTGAATTTTTGACAATTTGAAATTCAAAATAGGATTGAAGTATTAATTGTAGGAGAAAAAGGTGGAATATGAATAGGAGAGATAATATTGTTTTGTGTAGAATTATATACAAATTTTTTTAAAAAAGTTTTATACGATTGGTTTAGGAATAGGTGGTGGACCCCATTAATTATAGCAAAAAAACAAACAAACTATAATTATAGAAAATAAATAAATTAAACTATATCCTTATTATATAATTGAAAATGAGTGAAGGTACCGTTTGAAAGAACTCAAACGGAGCACTGATTGCAAACTGGACAGGGCAGACGACCTTGGCGTACTGAATGGCGTGGGGTGCCAACCCGTAAACTTCAGAGCATAATTTGGGGCGGTTTGGCTGGCGTGACTCACGAGGCCCCAACCCAGAAAACCCGACGGATTTTCTTGCTCGTTTTCTCACCCTAACTTGCCTGGAATTGAAATGTTTCTTCCCCAATCACTTGGGTTCGATTACTTAACATAAGTACACTCTAATCTACTTATTACATACCTCAAAACACTCACTTCCACCTCAAGAAATCATCCAAAAATCCAACACAACAAGATTTATGATGAATTTCAATTACACTTCTCAAGAATTCATTAAGAACTCTAATCTTTCGACTTCAAGAATGAAATTTCGCTAAAATAGCATTATTGACGTGTGGGAGAAAAACCCAACACTATGGAAGCTTAAATACTCTTATGAATTAAGCCCATGGCAAAAATGGAAAAACCTCGACGAACATCTTGATTCTATCTTCTTTTCTCCTTTTATTTTCTCTTCTCTCAAAACTCCAACTTATTTTTATAAAACTTAAACTGAGTCCAATCAGTTTTGTTCCAACTTAATTACCAAAAATGACTTTAATTAATTTGATAGTGAAAAGACCATTATACCCTTCTAAAATCATGTTTTGACTTTCCTTATCTAGACAATGCAACTTCGAATTGACATATCTCCCTCATACAAACTCAAAACTGAGCAAATTCGATGGTGTTTAAAAGATAATTCAAACTTCTTTACTACGGTATTTGGTAGCATACCTAACTCATCCTGAGCTAGAAATTATGGTCGTTTGAAGTCGACACAAGCTCATACTTTGCTTAACTTTGTCAAACTTTTCAAATTTGATTATTTCTAAAAAAAAACGACTTCTTTTCAATTCTAAGTCTTTCTAATTCTTTCAAAAAGCGAGGTGTTACCTTATGATTATTAAATTTTAAATTTTTAATATTATTCAAATTATATGATATTTACATTGATTCTTGCTTTCTATTTAGTCAGAATACCTTGAGATCTTCATAAACTTGACATGGTTCATACAATATTAAGACGATACTATTATTTTGAGTTTATATATTCTAAAAATGAAATTTATTAGTTTCTTAATAAATTATTCACAAAAATTTAAATAATAAATACATTTTTAACACAAATAAAAAATCTATGTGAAAGCTACTAAATTTTTTTACATTTATAAGTGATAACTTTGCTTCATTACATTACATATTCAATTTTTTTCTAAGCCATATTTG